ACCAGAGTATTTGAAGTACCATAGTTAGGGCCTTGACCGTAACAGTTGTGAAGAAAACAAGTTGATGGACATCAGTAATACAAATTTAATAGACTATCTATCTATCTATCTATCTATCTATCTATTCTTTTCTAATGTGCCTATCACTGTGGTATCTGTTTTTTATTGTTCGTACATACTTTTTATTTATTTTTGCTATAGATGTAAAAAACAAATAAACTTATTATTTCTCATGTAGTTTTCAGACTCGTGCCATAACCTCTGCCCACATATTCTTGGCAGTGGAATTCCAGTGCCTGCACAATGAGAGGCTGAATTGTGAGCAGGGACCCACTGTTTCACAGCTGATAGAGGTCAGTTCATTTGGGGGAGGATTTTCTACACAGCTGTACACTGAGGAAAAGGAATTCATAGGGTCAAAGTAGTAGTTAGAAATGGAAAATACTCAATAGATCTCCTGGAAGGATAGGATATTGCCATGGGATCTTTACCATTAATCTTGATGGGCAGCCAGGATCTCAAATTAATGTTTTATGGGAAAGCTGGATTTGTATCTTATTTATGGTGTGAACCATCATATCTTGGAAAATATGCTACTGTACAGGAATCATCATCACAGTGTGTTAATTTGTCAGAATCCATGTTGGTGTAGTTCTGTATGTCTGAGATCAGAATTAAGCCCTTATGCTTCAATAATTTGGTAGGAAGAAAAATAACAGAATCTAGATTTAGTATCAAATATATGTTCTAACATGCAGAACATTAGCTCTTTCCAAACTCACTTAAAACCTAGTGAACTTTTAATCCTAAAACTAGTAAATGGAATCTCTTTACCTGCCTTAATTAAGGCTTTTGCTTTTGGTGCAATGAAGCTGACAAAGCAGTCTGTTCATTCTTGGAATCATAAATCATGCACTGAAACCATGCCACATGGCTGCCCTCTAGCAGCTATTGTAAGAATCTCTCTCTCAGTAGAGATGTAAATATTCTTAACAGGTTTTCTAGGCTCTAAAGGTTTCTAAACAAAGCAATCCTGAAGACATTTCAGCTGAAATACAACCTAGAGTTAAAGTGCTACTATGAAGGTTAGCCTTGAATGCTATTAATCGTGATTTCTAATGTCTGAAGGCAATAAATGTTTCTATAATTTATGTGTTCATATAATGAAAATTCATATATCGGATAATAATTTTATTAAACTACAAACACATAGAATCCTTCCATAAGGTTACTTTTGACACATTCCTCCATCTTCTGAGTCACTCAATTTCAGTTCACTTTATTCCACATGTTGTAGCTTTCTGTACTTTTAGGCCTTCAATATTGCCAGCCCCAAGTTAAAAAATCCTGAGACACACACCAAAAAAATCATTAAATTGATTTAAAAATCATGAGGCTTTACAAATAATAAATTTTGGGTCCTTTTTATTTGTGTTCTAGTTTTCAAGCCTTTAGAGTTCATGTTTTCAAGCTTCTCTCCACAATCATGATGGCTAGAAACTTTTCCTTTTTTTTCAATGAAAGCTGAGAGCCTCAGGTAATCACATGGCTCCAGGAGCTGGGGCTTTAAGAAAAATGCCAATTATTAAAAGCTTGTGATAAAATTTTAAGAGTTGGCAACACAGCCCCGTCTAGATCTTGGGTGAGCATAGGGTTCACCTTAGCCAGCTAATGTGTTGATATACAACTTTGCTTGTTTATGTTAGGGTTTTAAAGCATATTTATTAAAACATAATAGCTAACAATAAACAAAACAAAACAAAAGCCTTTTTTCTTAATCTATATATACCCATAAAGGGATTCTGTCAAAATGCTCTGGGAAAAAGTTTGGATTTATTAAAGTATATACATAAATATATGAATACAAATGTTATATATTAAGACTACTTTCCTTGTTCCAGCTACTATTGTTCATTTAAATTGTATTCTCATTTGGCTATATTATCAGTTTTCAACTGTTTTAACCATAGGAACATATCCCTTACTTATCTGTCTTTGGAGATATGCAAAGGTACTTTGTTAGAGTGTTTTTCATTCATGGGATAGATCTTTCTAGATCTAGAAGTAAGTCTTCTGCAAGAAGACCTGGTATGACCATCAATTGATTATAGGTTATAATTGCTATGACTTTGTTCATTCTTTCTCTTTTTTTATTAGTATTGTATGGTGATTTGTTTATAGGAGGGCATGTACTGTACTCTAAGGACCCTGATCCTGGAAGGCATCCACTTGGATGAATGCTTATACCCTGGTTGGGTCACAACTCACAATGGACAAAATTCCATAGCTGCAATAGAGAGCATCCTTCTTACTGATCTCACTGATAAGAGATTGTCTCTAGTATAAGGACATTATATTTTTGTTCCAATTTCCAATTGAAATCCATATAACATCCATTTCCCCTTATAACGTTGTGCTATGAGACTCCTGAGCTCTGAACTGTGCTATTGGTTAGGAAAATGAAAGCTCATTATATTAACGTAGATGAAAATGTTACATTGTGTAAATCTGCATGTAGAATCTTTTATATTGTATAATCTGCACTCAGACCCTTAAAGTATAGGGGATATTATTGACCCAACATATAGACCCAACACACTGGTCTAACTTGTGTATCCATAGCATTTAGTGCAATCTGAAATCATATTATTAACTCTTGAGGTGTGAATACACATATTTTACCCCTTCCCATAACACAAGGACCAGGGGTCACCCAATTAAATTAATAGGCAACAGGTTTAAAACAAACAAGAGAAAGTACTTCTTCACACAATGCACAGTCAACCTGTGGAACTCATTGCCAGGGGATGTTGTGAAGGCCAAAAGTATAACAGTATTCAAAAAAGAATTAAATTCATGGAGGATGGGTCCATCAATGGCTAATTGCCAAGATGGTCAGGGATACAACCCCACACTCCCGATGTCCCTAAACCTCTAACTGCCAGAAGCTGGGACTGGACAATAGGGGATGAACCTGTTCTGTGTATTCCCCCTGAAGCATCTGGCACTGGCCACTGTTGAAAGACAGGATACTGGGCTAGATGGACCATTGGTCTGACCCAGTATGGCCATTCTTACGTTCTCAAATTCTTAAGTACTTTTCAGTGTGCACATATTTGTAATAAGTTTAAAAAAATGTATTATTCAGCCATTTTAAAATAGCTTTAAATATCCAAAAACCCCACTAAGGGCTAAATATATGTACAATTTCCTTTTAAAAGACAAAAAAGCTTGGGAATAGCAGCAAAAATATTAATAAATTAGAAAAAATTCCATTTCCCCCACCCTACAACAGACAAAGAGTGTGGTGGGTAACAAAGCAATCAGAAGACAACCCAGTGCATCTGGAAACATCTCCTTCATCTTTCAGAGCTCAGATACTAACTCTACTTAGGACGGATGAATGCCTGATGAGGGTAAACCTTACTCTGGTTCAAATTATACTTTTTACTGAAGTAATAATACTGATAATGTGTTGTATTCATATAACAGCACTACTCGAATTCTGAAGGAAGGTGGGAAACATGATGTTTCTATGTCATTAATGGCCTTCTAGGTCATGGCTATTTTGAATGCCATAGGTAATTTTCTTTACACTTTTGTTTGTTTATGCTTTACATTATTGTTACTCATGGGTCACTTTTAGTCTCTCAGTAGGCCACAACAGCAAATCATAGTCCCTTTGTGAAACTTCTTGATGTACTAGTGTCTCTATGACTAGTGTCTCTTTGTGTGTTTTTCTTGCGTCCTCTGATTAATTTGTGTGTGTAAGGGTGGGGCAGGGGGAAGGGTGAGGAGGTCACACATTGAAACCCTGGTAGCCATCAGCAAACTATCATTCTACAGTGTAGCATTATGGCCCCCTGCCATGTGGCAGCCTGTGTTGTTGCTACCTCCTATTGTGAGAGGCTGGTGTGTTTACATGTGCTGTTTGTGTGGGTTTCCTTGTGTCCTTTCATTATTGTGTAGGTGGGACATTTGCTCCCTGCTACCCCAGCGACCAACAAATGGTCATAAAACACAGCACCTATCCTTATTGCCATGTTGCCCCTTGTGTCTGTGCTAGTGTTTGCCTCCTGACCCCTTGTTAATTTATCGGGGTCACTTTGTGACACTCACCCCTGAGGCAGTCAGCAAATTGCCATGACATTGTGAGGCTGGGTCGGGGCAGGCTGAGGTGGTTTATGCCAGATCCCCTCACTGTGGTGCCAGGACATTGTGTCTCAGTGTGTGTCGCGGGGGGGAGGGATAGCTCAGTGGTTTGAGCATTGGCCTGCTAAACCCAGGATTGTGAGTTCAATCCTTGAGGGGGCCACTTAGGGATCTGGGGCAAAAATCAGTACTTGGTCCTGCTAGTGAAAGCAGGGGGCTGGACTCGATGACCTTTCAAGGTCCCTTCCAGTTCTGGGAGATAGGATATCTCCATTAATTTATTTATTTAATTTAAGTATGTGCCCTCAGCCATTTCTTGGCTTGGGCAGCTAAGGGTCCCCAGCCTCCTCAGCACCGCAGTAGACAGGGGACAGATGCCGCACTGTGCGGCACTGCGCTACTTGAGGCTGCACCACCACGTCTGCTTGGGTGACGAGCAGTTGTGTCGGGGACACTCTCCACTGGCGTTTAGATGGGTCCCCCCAGGGGGCGGTGGGCACTGGTTGAAGAGGGGCAGCGGGATGGGGGAGTGGCACGAAGGAGGCGCGGGCGGGGTTGATCCAGGCTAAGATTTTTCCCGCCCGCCCACTCGGAGCGCCCCAGCCAGCGCGCGAGACTCACGACGCGCCAGGGGGCCAGAGGGAGCCAGTGACCCGACGCGCGCACCCCTGCCCAGCACGCGCGCGCGGTCGCCTGCTTTGGGCACCGCCCACCGCGTGCAGTTAGGAGTGCCCCGCTGGGGCACGCTTGCTCTGTGATTGGCCCGAGCTCTGAATCCTGCGCACCGCTTTGTGCGGCCGGGGCCCGTTCAGAGTGGGAGGGGAAACCCCGCGCACGGGGCACCGCCATCTTGGATAAGGAGGGGGGGATGGGGGCGCAGTAGAGCCGTCAGAACTGAGCCTGTGGGAGCCCCGGAGCGAGGCAGAGACCCAGCCCGGCCGCCGTTGCCCAGCCCGAAGCAGAGCCGTACAGCGCCCAGAGGGGACCGGGCTGCCGCCGTCGCCGCCACCGAGAGAGCCAAGCTGCACAGCCACCAGCTCCCCGAGCCCAGGTAATAAGGAAGTGGCGGCACCTCCACAACGCCTGGCCCAGAGAGCCACCCCCCCACACACACACCCGGCGCCCGGCCGCGGATCCTACCGAGGCCCGGCTAGGGGGGCCTCCCCCTGAACCCGGCCGGAACCCCTCCTTGCCTGGCGAGTCATCCTAGGGCTGCCCTCGGAACCCGTCTCCTGGCCCCGGGAGCCATTCAGACCCCCACGGTGCCCTCCTTCCCCGCCCCGCGGCCTAGCCCGGTGATCGCTCAGTACCCAGGCCTCGCTGGGACCTCTGCTCCCGCTCCTCGGCCTTCCCTTGTGCCGCTCCCTTTGCTGGGAGGCCCGAGGCGGATGCAGCCTGCACCCCGCATCAGTGGGCCCGGAGCCCCCTGTCCCCCCCGCGTTCCCATCTAGCGATGAGGCACAATGGAAGGGGAAAGAGCCAGAGCCCTGGGGGCTGGGCTTGCCAGGTAAGGTGAGGCTGGCTGGGCAGAAGCTAGGCCTCTGCTGCGCTGGTTCTCTGCCTAGCCTCCGCCTCCTCTCCGCCGCTGCACACTCGCATTCCCCTCCTGTATGTGCCCCTGCATAGTACGTGTGACTGCACACATGCGTGTGTGCTTCGTATGTGCACTCAGGGTTTGTATACAATAGGGTACGTGCTTGCGATGTAGGCTGTTTCTGCTGTCCCCAACGTCAATATTTAAAATTTATGTTGCATGAAACTATGATAAAGAATCTTTCATATAGGAATAATAACGAATCCTCCAAATCTTTGTCTGCGAGTCCACCAAAACATTCTGTAGTTCACTCTTTTAGACAAAATTATTCTAGATGCTGCACAGGAAAACGGATTAAAAGACTCAGATCGTTGTTTTGTGTCTGTTTGTCTGTCTCCATCACATTTTTGAATTGTCTTTTAAAGATATTCTGGAGTGGGTGAATGGCTTATTTTGGAAACAAGTTTGTGACAACAAAAACACTGGCTTCATCAATTCTGTGAAGCAAGGAAAGGTGTTAGGCTCTGTCTACAGTTGTATTGCTTTCAAGTCCATACTGTTGTGGCCTTTCTTGCTACTCAGTTTCTTTCTAATAGTCTTAAATGGAGTGGCTACATGAGGGATGGGGGACACACAAATATAGATACAAGGTCTTATAGAAGAATTTTTAATTGTGACTATCCTGACCATATGAAAATGACATTTGTCTACACTAAAAATTGACAGGTAATCCAAAAAATTCTTTGTATTGGGTTTTGAACTAGAAACTGATTCTGTAGTGGATGTCTTCTTTGTGTATTATTATTATTATAAATGTTAACTGAAACATCTTGCATAAAAACTGCTAGAGACTTTCTAGCCACAAAAAAAGTAAACATTTAAATTATAGTATTACTTAAAGTTCTGGGTTGGGATTGGGTCTTATGTTATGCTGAGCAATTTACAAACATAAGAAAGAGAATTTCTGCCCTGGGGGAATTAACATCTAAAAATGTAACTAACTGCATATGGATTAAAAAGGTAAGTTACTAACTCCTGTGAAGGACTGGGAAACCACATAAATCAGGGCTGTGGTAAGAAACTCCAATCCCATGTTTTTATGACTTGTTGGGGGCTCTTGAAATTGGGGAAACGTGGTATTTACAAATGTATGGGATACATTTGTCCTGAATGAAGCCATCGTTAAAGGGAGAAAAATATGTAATTGTTTAATATATTAAAACTAGAGGTTTTAAAATGTGTTTAGAAACCTAGTTATCTTATAAGTTTATTTCTATACTTCAGTGTATCCAGTGGGCTCTCAAGACTCTCCCCACTTCTTCCTGAACCAATTAAATATGCACTTTCCCTATTGATCAGGAATGTATGAAAGCAGCCCAGTAACTAATTGCTAGAGAATCATAGCTAACTTTTCATCATCTGTCTAGTTGTTACCAAAACTTTTGGTGTAGTATGTGATTTGCCTGTTCAGGCTTACCTTGCAGTAGATATCTATGGGAGAATGTGGCTCTGCTGCTAAACAAGCAGTGAAAGGAAATGCCTCATATCCAGTTGACTGAATATAAAATTTCTTTTGGTTCAAGGTAGTTGCTAAAATGTAGCTTTCTGAAGATGGTAGGGAGTGTTTTCTGAAGAAAATAATGCAATTAAACTTTTTATTTTTTTAGCTCAAGGAACTGAAGATAACCTCTGTGTTGGTTTCTAAATTATCTCTGGTTTTGATTGAGTGGTCATACCCATAAGGACAAGATGAAGTCTCATTACTATTGAGACTTCTGTACACAGAGAGAAGACGTCCAGTGCACCTTCTTCCCCTTACCTCTCCACCCCCTCCCAAATTTGTAGAGTAATATTCTGTTCCATTATTTTGGCACAATGGGCAGTAAAGGCTTGGTTGTAGTGTCCAACACGATTTTTAGTTAAAGGGATTGTAGGGTTTATTAATTGTCAGTGAATCTGTATCAAAATTGTTCTATTTAAGTGTTAGAAACATTTTTCCTAACTCTACAGTCTCGTCCTGGGTTCTTGCTGGATAATGCATCATCCATGCACATTAAGGTCCTGTAAGCCAATGTTGTCTTGCATGCAATTCATAGCCTTTAGGTTGGTTGCAAAGGTATAACTGATACCAGGAAGGAAGAACATTAGTTGCTATGGCTCTACAGTGCTAAAGGGAAAAAAATCATTGAATTATTTGTCAATAAAATAAACAGATTAAAATCAGAAAAGAGAAACTGCTGTTTCAAGAGTGCTGTTGTATTGTCACAGAAGAACTGCACTCTAAATCAACAAGGTTAACTGTGAAACTTCGACACTGCTTAAATCTTACCAAAAAGCGGCTTGTTATGGTTACGTGCCTACCAGACTTTCCTTTATATGCTGCTTTCCCAAAAAGCCTCAAACTTTCTTTATTAAGGAACACATAAGTGCCATCAGTCCAGTACTCATGTACAACTCTACCAAATGAAACCAGTTTGTCAGTGGGGAGAGAGAACAAACCTTAAACTACTGCTATATCAAATAGTTCATAAATGCTTGCAGTTTGAGTCCCACTATCATTAGATGGAGTAGGAGGGGGATGATGGGTAGAGGCACATATATAACATGTTGGCTGGAAAAAAAACAAAACAAAAACAACCACCTTAAAGGACATTATAACTACATTTCTTTTCCTCTTCTAGTTAGGAATTTAAAGAAAACTAGCATGAAACAAAACTTAGTCAGTGGCCATAAATGGCATATGATCATTAGTAATGTAGACTAAGCTGTTGTTCTGTGTGTTTTTTTTTTTTTTTTTTTCCCCCCTCTCTTTAAACACAGTCACTCCTGCTTTGGTGCATCCTGTTGACTATTTAATGGGGATTTGATGAATGCAGATCAGGTGATCTGACATACTTTCTGCTGTTTAAGTATAAGACTCACTTTCTCTTATGGAGGAATGTCTGACAGCAGAAATATAAAATCCTTAGTAGTAGTGAGAAGTTCCCATCAATAGAAAAACCAACAATAATGTTGCCAGAAAATTGAAGGCAGTGAGATGTTTTGATAAGACTAATAACTTGGAGTTGATTCTGATGGCATATGAATAGTACATAGAGCCACTGTGTAATAATGTGGTGTGACCCGATACTTCCTCTTTGCTCTGAGTAGTACTAGTAAGATTGCAGAGACAATCTGTTTAGAGTGTTTGCTGCAGCCTGTTACCTTTTTGCACCTGGCTGTTCCAGTACCACCTCCTGTAAGGATGAGGGGGACGAGAATAAAATGTGGTTTAAAAAAACCTTGTGAACTACTCTCACTGACTCTACCCAGACACTAGGTTAAAAATTGATACTTTGTTCATCAGATCTGTTCCTCTTGTAGTCTCACATCTGCTGACTCCAGTGACAAAGTTACTGCTTGCATTTTACTCTTGTTGGCTGTTATGGCTTTCAATACTAAAAGCAAGTGTTCTTTTGTTCAATCGTACAGATAAACAGAATTGTTCACAATGTACCAGTTACTCCCATGCAGATCCATTCAGGGCAGTGGAGTTGTGCGGATATAAATAAGGGGCCTAGTTTGGCCTGCAAAAACTATTACTAATGGTAGTACACAAGATGGGACAAATAATCTTGACACTTTGAGCTCAGGATGAGTTTCCATGACTGCCAGTTTAATTTCTTGTTTTGTTTTAAACAGAGCAAACTCTGCTTGGAGATCAAGAAACACACGTGAAAACCCATGATGCCATTTTTTGTCACTTTTCAGAGTAGAAGTGCATTGTAATGCTATAGTCATAGTTGTAGGGTATAGTTACTTTCTGGAGCTTATATGGGTGTGTGAAGTAGGTGTGACTCTGATGGGAACCTGTACCACTAGTAGGAACATAATTACTGAGACAACATTATATCTAAAGCACATTGATTATAACTAGTATTCAAATATACTGCTTCAATTTATAGCTTGCCATAACCTGATTGTATCTAAGGGCTAGTCTACACTGGCGGCAGCGCTTTAATGTGGCTTGTGTAGTCGTGGCAGAGAGCTCTCCCAGCGCACCTAAAAAACCCACCTCCACAAGGGGCGTAGCACGCTCCCTGCGCTGGTGCAGTGTCTATACTGGTGCTTTACAGCGCTGAAACTTGCTGCCCTTTTTTTTTTTTTTTTTTTCTCTTCACGCCCCTGAGTGAGAAAGTTGCAGTAGGGAGTGGTTTGAGCATTGGCCTGCTAAACCCAGGGTTGTGAGTTCAATC